TCCAAGGCAGGGTTAGTATTTTCAAGTGGGGGGGCAGTGACAATGGCAGTGGAGAGGCACCCTCCTGTCCTCCAGACCCATGCAGGGGTGGACAGTGTTAGAGCTGCAGGGAGTGGTTTAGGCAATGTTTGTGAAAATATCCCTGGAGGGTCCCCTTCTCCCTACCATGCTCTTCAAAGGCAAATGAGCACACACACTGTGGAAGAGAGTGTAATTTCCAGAAACCGTCTCAGCAACAATTAATGCAAGGTTCTGATAGGGGCTTGGGTAGGGTTAAGGTACCCTACTGGCATTAACAGAAAACATAACCAAAGAGAAAAAAAAAAAAAAAAGAACGAAACAAAATCCTTTGGAATTCTGTTTCTGCAAAAGGATTTAAACAAATAAAATGATTTGAGGTATTCTATTACTGGGAACCTCTTGAGAATTTTAATTTTCTACAAACAAGCATAGACACAAGTGACTTTGCCATGTGTGACCCCACGGTCTGGCAGCTTTGGATCAACTGACCATTGGATCAGGAGCCTTCTTTCTCCATAATGGCCAATAAGATGCCCTTTGGTCAATGTCTAGTCTAGTCATGATCTATAGTGTGTTGAGCTGACTATGTTTTAATCTCAGTGGAAACGCTAAGTTTCAGTGATTAAAGGCAGAGTAAGGTCACATAAGCAGAGACCCTGGGGGGACCTTGTGTACCGAGGGAGGACACCTCCCTCCCCCAGAGTGTGCTGTTCTCCCTCAGCCGGCCAGGTGGGCTTTTCTGTGCCCAGTTGTGCTATGAAGTGAGGAACGACCGTGGGCAGCTGGAGAGGCAGGTGCTCCTGGCACGAGCCACATGCTGTGTCGTCTGTCCCAGTGCAGGGGAAGTTCCTTCAACAGAGATGCCAAAGCCAACCAGGTCTTCACCCTTTCGTTAGGTTTTATTTTCTGTTCATTTCCTTTCAAATGCTCAAATCTAAAACATAATTTTAATTATAGGCAGCGTTGAGGTCCCCAGTGACTTTCTCTTTGCTAAATATCCTATTGAAGCTCTCAGCCACGCGGACCCTGTTGATCGCTTCTCCTTCCCGAGATCGCTCTTCTCTTGGTTGCCCTGACTTTCTTTCTCTTTCTCACCCTTCATTTATGCCTGTCCTTCGTAAGTCATCTTTGCTGGATGCCTATTAAAGGGTGTAGTTTCCCCAGCATTTTCTCATCAGCTTGAGTTTCTTGCCATGCCCCCTCTGCCGCCCTTACTCCCTTCCACGGCTCTGCCCGCGGTGTCCCCAGCACCTGACCTCCCGGTGGGAGACAGCCCTGCAGGGCGCGCACGGAGCGACCCTCACTGGGGCCTCAGGCGCGGCCTTCCCACGCCGCTCATCAGGCTTCTGCTGTATTTCCTACTTCAGTTAATGGCACCGTCATTTACCTGGTCACCCACGCGTATTCCTAAAGTAACTCTAAACCCTTCTTCCTCTCTTACTTCCATATTCACTCAAACCACAAGTCTTGTCAATTTAATTTCCTAAACGGTTCTTAAAACTACCATCTCCTCCCCATGTGCTCAGCACCTGCGATGTTGTAGGGTTGGCCCGCGTCTCGTCCCTCACTTAGGCCGGGAGAGCTTTATCCACCGCCGTGTGGGTCCAACGCGCCCTCCGCGCATCCCTGAACCGCCACTTGCACCGCAGCCAAAGCTCGTCCTGGCGTTCTCTTCCCAGGCGGTTCCCAGGCATCTGGTCCTCCCCAGGGCCCGCACACAGGCGCGGGGTGCACCCCTGCTTGGCTGCGCGCTCTCACAGGCGCCTCGCGCCGGACACGAGGCCCACTTGGATCCTTCTTGTGCCATTTGCTGACAGACGTAAATGGCGTCTGGAGGAAGGGAAGACAGTTTGCTTGCACAAACGTGTTGCGTTGGCTATCTGTGTTTATCAAACACTTACCAGACTTGAATGCAATTGTTATTAATTAATTATTAATTATTTATGACTTCTTAAACATTTAGATTTCATCTCTTACACCAGACTGTACATCCTTTTGGAAGGGGTTGCCTCTGTCTGGGTTATTGGTGCACCTTCAGGGCCTGCCTTTTCTGCAGGCACTTGGGGACATTCAGTCCTATAGGCTGAGGGATGTGAGCTGGGGCCGCCGCGTCCAGGCTTGGCAAGGCCCTGTGTTGTAAGCAAAGGAAGTTACTCCCTTCAGCTCTGCACGCATTGCTGGTGTGTGTCTGTGTTAAGCCACAAGAAAGCAAGTTAATCACAATTTGCTGATGGGTTAGCCAGTCTTTCTGACAGAAATGCCAAAGCCAACCACCACCCAAGATGCTTTGTAGAATTAACCAATAAAAATTCCCACAGTTTTATCTTTGAAAGTGTTTACTTGTACATAGTTATAAGCAGAGTGCTACTATTGACTAGAATAGCCAAGTCTAACCACATGTGCTCTATAGCAGTGTATAATGGAGTATAGCATTTTAGCAATTTATTTTTCCTCTCTATTTTATGACCTTTTATCTAATATTATGATAAAATCTCATAGTCCCCAGAGCCTAACTCCAGGATGCAGCTGAGCTTACTGAATTCAGAGACTCGGGTGGGTTCCCCTGGCAACCAGAGCCGCCTGGAGGCTTCTCAGTGCTCTGCTCATTTTGGCTTCACTTTATTTTGGCCATTAATACTCTAAAAAAGAAAAAAAAAATGGGAGTGCTCAAATGAAACAAAACTACTTTTTATCATAATTAGTATTGTTCCACCTTCAAAAGACTGTCTCAACTAGTAAAGGTTTGTTTTTAAGGTTTTTTAAATCCATGAGGAGAATTAGAACATTATATTATAGTTTAGAAGTCCCAGGCTAAGTTCTGCACACTAGTTATAAAAGAATATCCCAGAAAAATCCTTTCACACTCACTATATATGTATGAGAAAGGGAAATCAAGACTTCAGATTGTTGAGATTGTACCAACTTGGTAACCTCCTTAAAGTTTTTTACCTCTTTAAAATTTTACCTAAATCTTTTCAAGTAACAACTTTTCCTTTCTTGTTTTTCTTTTGCTTTTTCTTCACAGTACATGACTTTCAGTCTTTCTTGTTTTTCTGTCCTTGCTAATACCCCCTCTTAAATTTGTTCTGTCTTGGGGGGAAAGTGGCTCTGTATTTGTCTTTTTACTTGAAACAGTTTGCTCCATAGGTATATGGCAAGAGCCAGAACACCTGTGTTGGAACCCAGTGCTGACATTACCAGTTGAGTGAGACACCTTTGTACTAAATAAAGAAAACAACCAATGCAGTAAATGAGTGCAAAAGGAGGCTACATAGGTAATGTAGACACTTTCAAAAGCATGTAATACAAAGACAGTTTTGTCTTTAATGCATGAAATTATAGATAAACAAATAGGTAACAGACAAAAAGATAGATGAATAATTCAGGACTTCCCAGCTATTTTCCTTTAAATAGTTTAGTCTAGTCATTTTCCTTTAATATATTATTTTTACTTTCTTTTTAACTCTGATGCTGCTCAGTTTTTGATAATTTCAAGCAAAACATCTTTACTGGCTGGTTTAGGGGTAGCATGGGATTACTCTGGCAGGAAGTAAGCCCCCAGACATGTGGAGAAGATTGTCTGCCTTCTTCCTTATGGAGAGGGCACGTTAGACACACAGAAGTCGCAGTAGGTTCAGTGATTTATGAAAGCATCGTCACCTTCTGATGAAAGTTTGCAATCAAAATTAAAAATAATATGAGATTTGACAATATTATTTTCAAAACATGAGGTTGAAAAGATTCTGTTGAGCAAATGGAAAGCTTCCTTTTCATATCACACTGCTCAAGAGTTCTGCATTTCTAGGCCCTGGGAAGACCCTGGTGGCCATATCCCCCTTTGGGGTCATGGTGTCTTGAAAGAGATAGGAACCCTCTTCTGTCAATAGCTGATGGATGAAAGCCTGAGTGTCAGCCATTAGGTGTGCCAAGCGTGGCACAGATGTGCACTGCGGGAAGCAGTGGGAACCTGTGTTTTTCAGTCTGAGACTATGAACCTATGGGGGAACAGAGCTGCCCAACCCTTGGTCTGCTCCACTTCTGCCTCCAGCACCCGGTGGAAAAGGGGAACTTCTCCATTCTCCTTCAGAATCTTCACCTCAGTGGCTGAGCCCTTGCTTCCCTCCTCTATCCCACCTTTGTGCCTTGTCCCTAAGGTCCTTTTGCCCGAGGGCTTCTTTCACCCAGCAGAATCTGACAGCTATCCTTGGACTGGAAAAGTTTTGCAAAGTGGTGGTGACTGAATTTCTTTAAAGGGGTTCAGATTCTTGGCAGTGTGATAGAGGAGGTGCTGTGGTGAAGGAGAAGTGAGGAGAATGTGATGGCTGTAATGATTAATGCAAAGCAAAGAGACACTGTCACCTCCCGGGGCCAGGACTAGGGCCTGGGTAAGGAGAGTGCTTTGCTCTATACCAGGAAATTCAGGCAATGCATGTAAGGTGCAGTTTGCATGCAGCTCGTCACCCCAGTTAGAACAGACTGAACGGAAGAGAATGAACAGAAATATTCTATTTACATATCTGAAATCATTAATATTTTATGACGTGGTCTTATTCTAACTGAATCATTTTGCTACTTTATTTCGATGGGTCATTCAGATAAACAAAACCACTATGCCTTTTCTCCTCACCTGAGAGAAGACATGTCCTGCAAACTCTCCAGATAGGAAGTTCTAGACATTACGAATAATCCAGATGCATACTTGCACTAAATAGGCACCCCCTTCCTTATTATTAAATCTCAATGTCTCAGTCTTAGGCCTCTGGGAAGGCTGCAGGGCCACCCAGGCGAGGCAGTGTGCGACTCTGGGCAGTGAGTGTGCCCGGTGAGCCGGTGGGGCTGGGGGCTGGGGGGCTGGAGTGCTGGGGAGCTGGGGGCCTGCTGTCTCTGGATGGGCGGGGCGGCGATGGGCGGGCCTGGGGCGGGCGCGCCAGCGGAACTCTCCACCCGCGGACCCCTGCGCCCGGCAGCGTCTTAGCTGTGTCCCGCCTCGCTGAGCCGCCACCAGCAGTGGGAGCCGCGCTCTGAGCTGCAGACACTGCGCTCGGCTGAACCGGCGCCCTGGGGCCAGAGCGCGGGGCCGGGTGCGAGAGCCGGCGACTCCGGGCTGCAGGTGCGCGGCGACTCGGGCTGAGAAGGACCAGGAGCGCGAGGTTCAGCGCCAACCAGGGCGCCCCCTGCTTCGCCCCGCCTGTCTCTGGGAGCCAAAGGTGAGCTTTAAGCTTTCGAGGCGCAGTTCTAGCTAGGGCTCCGAGCTGCGGGGCGGGGGACTCGTCCCGCGGTGGGGAGGTCATATCGGCAATCTGGGGACAGTTCCACTAGGAGACGGTGCCTAAGAATGGGTGAGGGGCATCTTCAGAGCTGGGGGAGAAGGAGTAAGTGCTCTCTGACCTTGTCCAGCGCCCAGCGGGACATCTGCTGGCCAGGATAACAGCAAGACGTCCGTCCTCCCTGTCCCGCCTTCGGGGACATGCAGGCTGGATGGGCGTCCGAGTGCCCCGGGTTCCCAGAGCAGCCGCCCGGGCGCGGGCAAACTTCGCCTCTCTGGGTCTAGCCTGTTTCTCGCTCCCGCAGCCCCGCAGGTGCCGCCTCTCCTCGCCTTCCCGCTGCAGCCGCCCACCATGGACTCCCCGGTCCAGATATTCCGCGGGGAGCCGGGCCCCACCTGCGCCCCGAGAGCCTGCCAGCTCCCCAACAGCAGCGCCTGGTTCCCGGGCTGGGCCGAGCCAGACGGCAACGCCAGCGCCGCCTCGGAGGACGCGCAGCTGGAGCCCGCGCACATCTCCCCGGCCATCCCGGTCATCATCACGGCGGTCTACTCCGTGGTGTTCGTCGTGGGCTTGGTGGGCAACTCACTGGTCATGTTCGTGATCATCCGGTGAGCGCGGGGCCGGGCGCCGCAGAGGCAGGGCCGGGCGGGGAGGGCGCGTCGGGCCGCCACCAGGACCCACTGAGGGGCAGCCAGCCAGTGCCGGGGACTCTATTCTGGGAAGGGTTCTGCAGACAGTCCGAGCGAGCGTGCCCGTTGGAAGAGGTGATGGATTTCCTGGGAGAGTTTTTGGTGGAGGAACAGGGCCAATCCGAGGGACCAGAGGCGTGTTGAAGATTTAAGAGCGACATCCCCACCCCACCCTGGGGCCCCTTACCCCTGCTGAAAACTCTGTATGGGCAGGGCGAGGACCAGGGTGCTGACAACACGGTCAGTGTCTCTTGGTAAAGGAGCGAGCCCATCTACCTGGCCTTTTGCCTCGTTGCCCGCACCAGTTCAGAGCACTTTGTTTTGTCGTCTCCAAATATTTCTCAGATAAATTTCAGGTCCACTGAACGCACTGAAGATAATTCCGAATTTCCTGTGACTCATCAGATTGGTGTTACAGCTTACGAAACAAAAGCCAATACACAATTTAGGGTTGTTGATATCCATATATGAGCCTTTTGAGTACTGAAATATCATTCCATTTGTTTAGGGTGTGGGTGATAGCTATCTAATATTTACTCTCTAAAGTACGCACTGTGGAGGTTTTCAAACATTGCTTTGCTGGTTTCCCAGCCCCGTGAGAAATTAAATGTTTCATTTTATTATTCTTTCATGGGATTTTCTTGACGTCAACTTCCAATAATAAATATCCACATATATGCTAATTTTCTGGTAAATGAAGTGATTCTTATTTTTAAAAGAAAGAGAGAAAAGAAAAGAAAAACCCTACTTTGTTCTGCATGCCCTTTGAGATGTATGTGTTTCACTTTTTTGGAGCTCTAAGCTGTGGAAATTTCCCTCTGAGAGTGAATTAGCAGCTTACGTTCCTTGAGAAGTCCCTATGCAGTCAAAGAAGGTGCAAGTCACCCTGATTAGGGACTTTGAAAGGATGAAAAACTTTTTTTTAAGCTTGATTAGCTTGACTTTAGTTTTAAAACAGGCCCTCTATTTATTATAAACTTCAAGAACAATATCATGAACAGTAGCATGAATTTTTCTCTTGGGAAAATACCTGTTTATCTTTTTTTTTTTTTTTGTCTTGAGAGTGTCAGGTCTTTTATTCTTATCCATGTTCTGAATTTAAAAATCATCATTTAAGCCTCCAAATATATATTATAAAGCTCATTTCACCTACAATTAGTGTTTATTGCTTGGTACCCTTGGTTCCACCATTGCTTACTGCATTTCACAGGAATTCCATTGGTGATGAGTAAAGGTTATGAAGAGGGGATATTCTAAAAGTAAATTACTCTCAGTGCTGGTCTCCCTTAGACAAAAGAGAAGACAATTGTATTCTAAATTATAATTAAAATTTTAGGAGATCAGAAGTCCTTTTTAAAAATAAACCATTGTCATACAAAAAGAGGACTCTAGAAAAAAAAATTCAGCTCTTTTTCTACTCATACCATATTTAGGTGCTTAAGTAAAACATCTTATTATTTGAATGTGCACCTGAAGTCTTGAATTTGAAAAGAGCTTTGTAGTTCCTGTACAACATTTTTGCAGACTAGGATTAAAAAGAATCCTAAAATAGATAACTCCATAGGGAACATTAGACACACTATAAGGAAAAAAGAATTCTTATAGATTAGCTAGGATTTTTAATGGATGGATTTTCTAAAGATATCCAGCACTAAAATGTGTTGGATGGGGATAAGTTCTGCCGAAAATATGAAAGAAGTTACATAGCTCACACAACAACCTCATCCATTTTGCCACCCCATTCTCAACTACTTAGATGTTAAGTTTGACAATACACGAGAAGTGAAGAGTTATCCTGCTATCCTGGAATGCCAACCTCCAAAATCTGGCTAGTTCACTTAAGGTTGGAAACTTAAATTTTAAGGTCTTCACAGAGAAAGGTTAAAGTGCGGGGATATTTAGTGAACCTAGTTCACTTTAATAGGGGTCCTCAAACTTTTTAAACAGGGGGCCAGTTCACCGTCCCTCAGACCGTTGGAGGGCTGTTGGAGAGTGTGGCGCGGATTCCACACATGCGCACTGTGGGTCCGGGAGGAGTCGGCTGCTAAGCAGGACAGGCAGGCTGGTGGGATAAATGTCCTCGGGCAGGCCGCAAGTGCCCCCCAGGCCATAGTTTGAGGACCCCTGGGAGGGTAGTGAAGTATTCATGATTTGTTCACATTGATACATGGACAAAGAATTGAAAAGCAAAACTTTGTGAGGAAAAGTTTATGGGTTTAAGACTGCTTATCTCAGGGGAAGAAGGGACTGAAGACTGAGAGGGCAGCGTCCGGTGGGCCGTGGTTCCCACATCAGGCTGCGTGTGGGGCGGGAGCCTGCGGGCAGTGCGCACCTGTCCCGCCGGAGCTGGGGGATGGCCAACTTTGCCTGAGGATCGCTTTTGAGAAGGACACTCTTTTAAACTATTATACACGGAAAAGAGTCCTAGCATAGTTCCAACTTGTAGAAAATCATTCTAGAGTTGGAATTTAGGTGCTCAGATGGTGCATCTAGGCGGGCCAGCTCAGGCCTAGGGAGAAAGTTGGAGGAAAGAGCTTTGACTACTTTCAGGCCCGCCTTACAAGTAGCTCTTTCCACCTTGGGTGCCTGGAATGCTGCCCAGTATCTTCTGAAAATATTTGAACTTTCAAGGGTTCTCATCATTTAATGTGTACCAACTGCCATAACTCCCTGACGTTAGAGCACATTTCCCTGTGACGACCTTACAATTTAAGTGCCCCAGCTGCCCCTCTCACCAGACTTGGGGGTCTGTGGCCCTTGGGTGCTATGCTCAGGATCCTAATCCCCTGGTCTCTTGACTTCCTCCCGTGCTGGCTGCCCTCCATGCACACCATGATGCCTGCATCCAGGCCTTGCCCGGCAGCCCTGCCCCCTGCATCTTAACGTCCATCCTCTCACGCTCCCCACAACCCCCCACACATGGCTCTCTCCTCCCTTAACAAAGATGGCTAAAATTTAAGGAGCACTTAATATGTGACAAACAGGTAAAGCTATCTACTTCGTGTGAATTATTTAATCTTCACAACAATAGGTATATTAATACCATACCCATTTAACAGATGAGAAAATAAAAGCAAAGAAAGAATAAATACACGAAGGTCATACCTAGGGACAGAAGGCCCTGGCAGCCTGACCACAGACCCTGTGCTCTTACGCTGTCTGTGTTTCCTGTCACACCACTTCCACAGACATCTGGATCCTTTTTCCCTGGAGCTCTTTCATTTCATCTGGACTGTTTCTTTTTCTCTTCCTCAATTTACACTCCAGGAGCTGTCCCTTCTGCCTCTGTCCTGACAGTACACTCCTGCCTTCTTGTACTTCTGCCACTGTCTGCCACCAAAGCCTCAACCCTTGATGGAATCCAGTAACCCCCCTTCCTTGTTTCTGCACCCAGCCAGCTCAGTGTTGTGGGATAAGATCCATTTTATCTTTGTCAAGGCAAACTCACTGCCTGCAAGGTTATCAGACCCCAATTCTGCCTGCGAGTTTTTCTATGTCCCTATCCTGTATTCCAGAAAAAGCCAATTTTTCTCCCATTTCCCATAAAAAGATGAATTTTAATTTGCACGAATTCCCAAACCCACCCACATGACAATGTTCTCTTCATGTTCAGTTAATGGTCTTACCCAGTAGTTCACTGGGACCCTGGAGGCCAGGCCCTGGGCATGCCCCTTCTCTACACATGCACACTGGTAGCCGCCCTGCCTCATTCTGTTCCATCTCAGGGTAAGAGTCTCTTTCCTTCTCTCCAAGGCTAATCCTTGCTTTTGGTTTCGAGTCTCATTGCCTCCCGGAGCGGTTGCCATCTCAGCTATCTCTTTTCTACCTGATTGCAATCTCTCCCTCTCCACTGGCTCTTCAGTGCACGGACATCTGCCATCTTAAATCATAATCGATGACCCAATATCCACCAACCTTCCATTTTTCTGAGTTGCCTTAGCTAATGTCGTTTCATCTTCCTGTCCATCGTGGGTAGGTACATTTATTGGAGGAATAATCCCTCATCCTTGTTCCCTTGTCTTCCACCTTTTCCTCTGCCCCATGTACTTGGGATCCCTCCCTGAGGCTACCTTACCAAAGCCACAAGGCTCACGCTTCACATGCTCCTTTCAGGCCTCTGTTCCTTGGAGAGTTTGGCGGGCTTGACCTATCATAGGCCCCTGACTGTCTCAGATAGCACCCTCTCCTTGGCTTCCCCCTGCATCCTCTGGGTTACTCTTTGGTCCCCTTTGCAGATTCCTCTTCCTCTGGTGTCTTCTAAATGATCATATTTTCCAGAGTCTTCTCAACTTTCTTCTTCCCTCACTTAGCATGTTCTCTGTGTTAGTCAAGGTTCAACCAGAGAGGCAGCCCCGTAGGGGAGGTCTATGCTGAGGGACTTCTCCCAAGGAATGGGCTACGAGATGGGGAGGTGCTAGGTAGGAAGTCAGCAAGGGAAAGCTGACTGTCTTCTTCCTCGGGAAGCCCCCACTCTGCTCTTATGGCCTTCCACGGACTGGATCAGCCTGTCTATGATGGTCTCCCTTGCTTAAAGTCAACTGATATGGTCTTTAATCATAACACCTTCACAGCAGTGCCTAGCTGACTGTTTGAAGACCTGTGGACTTTATCCTGGCCAGGGTGTCCCATCACACCTTTTAACGGTTTCATCCATTCTCATGGCCATAACTCCCATGTACATTCTGACAAATCCTACGTCTTTCTCTGTCTCTCCCAAGTCTCCATCCCATCTACAAACTCAGCCTCCTTCTTCCCACATGATCTCACGGGAACCTCAGGTTTCTAAAGCGTCTATGTGCATTAGTTTACTGGGGCTGCCATAGCAAAGCACCACAGACTGGGCGGCTTAAACGACAGAAATTTATTATCTCACAGTTCTGGAGGCCGGAAGTTCAAGATCAAGGCGTCGGCAGGACTGG